CCCCAAAACCCCAAAACCCCAGAAAGTGAATATTTTAAAGATAGATAATGTAGCTAATATAATCAAAATATATTTAAATTTTATATTATACATCCATGTGTTCCAATGTATAATATTTATATTAATTTATTTATAAGTAATTTTTTATTGCTAATTTTATCCTGCTTTTCACTGCTAAACCGTTTTTAGTATTTAAGATATTTGCGATTTTATAAAATCCATCTCATTAGCAAGTTTCTAATAATTCTCTTTATTCTCTTTATCATTTTCAAGTAGCTATTATTTTAATTATCCAAATTATACTTATATTTCATCATTTTTGCTATTTTTCTTATGTTTCTAAGTTTAAGCATCAATGATAGCAGAAGAAATTTTAGAATATTAAGAGTTATTATTTTATATTAATTCTTATTTTGATTTTGCAGCTGATGTTCTTATTGTATATTTAAGATCTTTAATGAAGCCTTGCCATTCCCCACTTTCATTGTTATTATTGTTGATTTATCCTCTAATAACTATATAATTTGGAAACATTTCTTTGTTTAGAAGCTCTGAAGATGTGAAAAGTTATTCTCTTTCAACAATCATATTAGCTTTCACCTTGTATGATTCTGCTACTAGTTTTTGCATAACTCTTTCATATGATTCAGATATCACCGCAATGATAAAGTTCATGAAAACAATATTTAAGGTAAACACTGCTGAAATCCATATAATCCATGAGACTATGACTAGTAAGCTTCCTTAATTTTAATAATTATCTAATTGAAAGTCGCCAGAGGATATTCTAAAGGCCATTAAGAAGTAGGCCATTCCATTTACCCCATTATACTCATCAATTTCTTCAGCTTTAAATAAAACCAACAATATCATTCCGAATTGGAGAATCATTATCAGGAAGAAACTGATGAAGTATTTTATGTCTTTGAAAACTCCTGCCATCATTTATACTAAGAAACTGAATCCATCGTATATTCTGAGAAAGAAAAATAGTTTCATAAATGATAGAATAATAACCAGAATTTCTATCAATATAAGATTTACTTTATCATTAACTGTGAATTCCATAATACAAAATGTAGCAAATGATATAATGTGAAAAAAATCGAAATAATTCCATCCATCACTAAAATAACTTGATTTTTAGATTCTTATTTGTCTTATTTCGTGAATTAAAAAGTACAGTAGTACAATTGAACATATTATTTTAGTAGATGTTTTCACCCAGATATTGGGTCTAGTTTCTTCAACTTCAGTTTATGCTGATAATTATTCATCAATTTTATCATTTTATTTAGACGTGTAAGTAGTGTAGAATATGTCAAAAATAAAAAATACCATAAATATCAAATAGATTTAGAAATTTTACTAATAAAATGATTTGGTGTATTAGTTCCATTTAAAGTTTATTATGCTCTAGATAATCTTATTTTCAAAGTATTCAGGCTTATCTGATTCACTGAGAACTTTCATAAGTTTAGTTGGTTAATTTTGAAGAGTAATTGGTAAATTTATCATGTGATATTCAATTGATACCATTGGATCATCTTCATTTTATGAAAGTTAACTTAATTTTTTAATTAACAAATCGTCATACTTTTAATGAATATCTTTTGGATGTCTTAAGTTTATTCCAATTATTAATTCACGCTCATCAGAATGTTGGTTTGTAAATTACGGGTCTAAAATTTGATATTAAGGCAAGTTACTGTCAAAGTATTCTTGCAAATCGATTTATTGTTTTATTAATTCACATAGATTTTTATCAATCAGTTAGTTAAAAACAAGATGATCTTAGTATTTTAAAATCACTGATAAAATAGTGTTGATAATCTTTTATTGATGATTTTTAATTGAAAAATCTAGAGGGGTTAAATTTCCAAATAAATTAGAGCAAATAAGTATCGGTATAGATTCCTTATCTTTAAGAGAAAGTTATTTAATGATAGTCTCCAAAGCAATCAAATTATTTTAGAACATATTGAAACATGTGCCGAACCCAGCAATAAATTTGATATATTTATTGACATCAATTGTTATTTCTTTTATTATTTACTCATTATTCATTAATTTAATTTTTCCATATTCATCTATTAATCTATCAGTGATCTCTATGTCAAAATATCCAACTCTCTCTTCTTCCCCATTTATATAAATTTGAACTTAAAATTGATCTATTATTGTTTTTTGCACATTTTAAAAGTAGAACTGCAGAAATAAAGGTTAATTTAATTTGGTCTCCCTATTCAACTCCTCAAATGGTTTTTAAATCATAGTTTAGAGTCCATTTTAGCCATTAATTTAGAAAATTGATTAGGAATTCCTATCTACAACTCCTTTTTATCTTGTATATAAGGTTAAACTATCATCAAAATTAATTTAAGTTATTTTATCAAGAACTCCTTCTTAAAATAACAATACAAATAATGATTTATGCATATTAATTTGAATATAATTTCTATTAACAAAATATGAAAGCTAGTTCTATTTATAATTTTTAGTAGGTATTTGAATAATCCTCTTTTTTGTTTAATTGTTAAGAATATCAATATGTTGGTCAAATTCAATTATCAATAATTCAAGATCATTATCAAGACAAGCGAATTTAGGCCTTTTTTCATCAATTTTATCAGAAAATAACAAAACTTAAAATTCTTAACTAAATTTATCAAAGAGAATTATCCTATTCATCGCTTAAATTTCTATTACATAATTATTTTTACCAAACTTATCAGACATTAATGTGAAATTTTATTAACTAGGAAAAT